AGAGTCAGAGGCTTGAAATGTGGGGTTTGTATCAAGGGAGAGTAGTGATGAAGGTGGACAAACAGCTTAGCATGAGATCATCCAGAACCTTGAAAACCAGACTAAGGAGTCTGGAATTTGTTCTACGAACTTGGAAGAGTGACAGAAACCCTTTAGGTTAAAGGAATAGTGACATTTAAAATTGATTTAAATATCATAACATTCCAGGTGTGATGTGTTCAGTATCTGATCTAAGAGATGGCGGTAGTTAAGCTTGGAGAGAAGAATGAGAAATTTGAAGTATCTAGAAGACTTGGTGATTTCCCAGGTTTCAAATGCCCTGCAAAGTGTTAAGGTGAGTGTGACTGATTTCTTCTTATAGTCTTGTAGATATCAGCCATCTGTCCCTCTGACCAAGAGAATACTGAAGTTTTCTCATTGTTCTTTTCACTGATTTCTTTGGAGATGTGCCAGACCTAAACTCTCTTTGAGTTAACAATGCTATGAAGACATTTATTGAGACAGACATATTAAGGAATACTTTATATATTGAACGCTGAATTCCTCCTAGTAAAATCATCAGTTTTATTTATTTTTTCCCAGATTGAGAAATTTAATCTGAGAGAAAGAGAGATGAGATTTAGATTTGCAACAGTGCCTCTAACCATTTGTACTCCTCTGCCCCTACTCATAATTGACTTATTATCATGCTTATATAATGATGCTTTTGCTTTTATTGGAATATAGCCTCTGTAGAATCCCAGGAGTGTGAACAGGTTCAGCATCACCTACTGCTTGTGTCATTTCTTGTTAATTAAATTATGTATCATATGCACGACTCCTTAAATTGTCATTTAAATAAAATAGTACTATTAAAATTTTAAATTATGTCCATCACCCAAAATGGGTTATAATCACCTGAACTAAAGTTTGCAGAAATTAGCTTATTAAAAGAATTTAGTCCTAGGTGTGGTGACCCATACCTGTTGACCCATACCAACATCTCAGAAGGCTGGGGCAGGAGAAAAGCAAGTTCAAATCTAGTTTCAGGAAAAGCAAGGTGCTAAGCAACTCAATGAGACCTTGTCTCTAAATAAAATGCAGAATGGGGCTGGGGATGTGGCTCAGTGGTTGAGTTCCTCTGAGTTGAATCCCTGGTTACCCCTTACCTCCCTAAAAATTGGTGAATTAAATACTTTCATGAATAACAGCAGAAACACCATAGAAACAGAGCATCGACTTCATCTCTCTAGTTTGGAAAGGTGGACTTAAGGGGGAGACATGATTCTTGGGTTGAGTTTCTTAAAAGTGGAACCTGAAATGGCGGTATGTGTTCAAGTGATTTATTAAGTGATTGTTCAATGGGGAAAACTACAGAGGAACAGAAGGAACAGAAAGGGAAAGGGGAGAAAGTTGATCCTAAGGAGAAATCTGTGTGTAAATTGTACTTCAAAGTTTATTCCAACATAAAACAGAGGTATCCCCACATTCGTAGGAGTTGGGTACAGGCCACTGTGGGAATAGGTGGAGTTTGGTATAATTCCCAGCCCCTCTGGGTAGGAAGGAAGTGCCAAGAACAATCTCCTTGAGAAAACTACGAGTGTGTGCGCCCCCAAACAAGTAAGAATCCTAGGAGTTTGGCCAAGGTACTGACATTCTCCTTCTTGTGTAAATCCTGGAAATAAAAGAGACATTCAGAGGTAATTTACTCATATACAAAACACATTCTTGTCCCTGATTATGATGTTATCAGCAGGCCTAGTGAATCCTTTTCTACTCGGACACTGAATCCAGTTGATATCAAAGATGTCCTAAATTCTGTGGTAAGATATCTGAGGCCATATCTACCTAAACCAGAGCACATTCAATGCCAAACATGAATTCCAAACCCCTCCTCAAATTGGTATCTCCTACGGTCTTTCTCATTTCATCAACTTGGGGAGTAAATATTCCATCTAATTCACTGACATTTTACTCAGCACTGTGAGAAAAAATATGAATGTCCACAGAGCAGCCAAGCAGATTTGATTAAGTGTCACGATTCAATTCCTTTATGAAATAATGCTTTGAGATTCAAGGCAAGGTATTTGGAGTTAGAGAAATTTTCTCACTACCTCTTATACACTGTGTGACCTTGGACAAGTCATTTACTTTCTCTGAAGTTGAATTTCTTAGTATAAATAATAGGTAGTTTTCAGAGTCATTGTAAAAATTGGAGAGATTCTTTACATAAAGCACCTAGCATTGTGCCTGGAATATTGTAGTGCTCAGTAAATGTAAACACATTTTTGTCATGTTTATTCATGAACATATTTTCTATTTTCAATGAATGAGAACTGAAATAATAAACCGAAAGACCAAAGGCATAAGAGGAGATTAGCTGAAGAATAAAATTTTGTGAGCAGAACAGTTTGGTAAGCTGTTTCTGTTATACCTAGAAATAATGGAAAATTCCTTGGGGCTTACTTGTACTTTAATTTTTGGATTGTGATCAAATACATCTATACCCAGGTATAGATTAATTTTCCATACTTGAAAGATCATACATAATTCTGTTTCTCTGTCAGCATCAAGACAGCTTCTTCATCATTTTTATTGACTTCCAGGTGATGTCTATCTCAAAAATTATTTCTCAGACTATGTAAGCCAATTCCACTCTCAAAAGGAAAAGAGAATGCAAATTATAATGGCATAGAGATATATAGTATTAAACAATCTCATGTTGAATGTTTTCAAATTGTCTCTGTGTTTATACAACTTTATTTTGTAAATTAATTTGGTAAAAATCATTGGAAGCAAATATTTCTGGTAAGGTGCTTTAGTCATTTAAATTAAAATTATACTTTTTATTGTAATACTTTTGATACATTTTCAATCAAAATAAAAATGATGAGTCATTTAGATTAGATCAGGTATATTGGTATACCAAGTATTGTGTCAGATTCCAGAAACACAAAAACAAAATGAGTAAAACACTGTACTTGTGTCCACCATAGTGCTGACACACTGGTGAAAAAAAAACAGATTAGCAGAAAATCCTAATAATATATAACAAGAGATAAGATAGCATGCAATCAGGGTGATACCCAGGTAGAGGCTATTTATATATCTCTAAATATATGAGCAGGAAGAGGTGATGTTGGAGTTGAAATTGAGTTGAAATATGAGTTAATGTTAACTTAAAGAAGAAAGGTGAAAGTGACATCACAGAGATTAGGATGTGCAAAGGCAAGGAAGCATTCATCAGCAAGGGGCATCTGAGAGACAGCAAAAGGTTGGCATTATTTAAATGAACCACTCCAGTAGAGGAATATTAGTGTGGCATATTAAAAATGGCCACAAAATCTTTGACTCTCCATTGAGTTGATTCTATGTCCCTTCTCCTTCAATCTGGCAGGCTCTGTCTCTGTGAATAGTTGGGTAAAATTTAATGGAAATGCTGGACTAGTCTCTGGATAAGGCAATCTTGACATACTGGTCATATTTCCAGTATTATATTGGAATCAAGCCATGATGTGAGAAGCCTCATTACCTTACCGCAGAAATTGTGGAGATCTCCTAACCCTATATAGAGAGGTGGTGGGGATCAACTGAATCTAGTTTCTAGTTATCTCCAACTGTGCATCAGAAATGTGAGTAAAACCATCCTGGGCCCTCCAGATCAGAGCAGTCACTGGATGAACACTACACAGTGTCACCAAGAATCACTGTGTTGACTCCTAACATAATTCCTGACTCTCACACAAACATGAGATAGAATTGATGGTTGTTATCTAAGACCATTAAGTGTTCGGGTAGAATTTGAGGCATAACAATTGAAATCCAAATCAGTTAAATAAAAGAAAGAACTATCCAAGGGACATATGATGGAGAGCCTGGGATGGTACATTAAGCACTTTGGGTACTTAATATTTCCCAGTCTAAAGTGGTAAAGTTATCAGCCTCTCTGTCCCATACAGGAATCCTTGATTTAGCTTTTGTCAGATAAGGCCATTAAAAAAATCACTGTCATATTATATCAACATAATTTCAGAAAAGAATGGAAAATTTACTACTAAGAAATTTGGGAGAATAATATTGCAAAGTGATGCTAATAGCTAAATTTATAGCACTTATTGTGTGCAGCTATTCCTTTAAGTGTTTTGCATACATTAATACACTTAATGTATAACAATTCAATGAGACAAGTCATGATATTCTCTTCATTTTAAAAATGAAGAAACTGACT